GGAGAAACTGGCCACTGCTCACAGCCTTTTTTCTCTGGGAAAATGGCCACCTCTCCTCCCCAAGCAGATCACATCATGTCTCAGTCATATTTACTCTCATCCATGGCACATGAGGGGACTTGAGAGGAAAGTGGCTCCTACAATTTTAAATATTCTCCATTCTCAATTCACTGGACCATCCTAGGACAGCTATTCTGTGTGACTTAGCAATGGGTCACCCAGATTAAAGAAAATAAACATGTATAACAGGAGCCCAAAGGCCCAGGAAGCCAGAAATAAGAGCAGAAGAAATTCAGGAATGTATCCAACTTTTCCACCCAAGAATATAAAGATGGGTAATGAGGATTGGTATGTGAATCAAACGGAATTCTAAAGTCACTACTCAAACAGCATTTTAAGTGAAACCAGCAGGAATTTTGCCCTACTTACACTTTTTTCCCCACTGGTTAAGGAAATCTAATGGAAAATTTAATGGGATGATGGGCCTGCAAACTCTGACTAGGGACCAAACAGCCTAGAGGTTTGTTTGGGGAGATTGTTGTGTTTTGACCCTAGAAAACCTAAAGCAAAGCTGGGTGTATCTTGCCCTTTAATTGTCACGGACACTAATCTGGGCAGACAGAACATATGTTCGGCTTCCCACATGCAATTTGCATGGAATTCAAGTGGAAAAACCAGTCCGCTGGTTTCTAACTGTGAATCAATGTTATAAGACCATACTAGTAATTCCTTGCATTTATATAGAATTTGACAAGTTACAGGAGAGTCCCCAGCATTATCTTATTTGAGTCTCAGGGGAGCCCTGTGGGGTGGGTGTTATTCTTATTTTATTGATTATCTTCAAGAATTGATATTGGCTCTTTAAAAGTGAGAAAAATGGGTGGATTTATGCTTCCCTTTAAGGAACAGATATCGGTTCCTTTGTCTCAATTGATTCTACTTTCACGCTCTAAAAAACAAAAACAAACAAAAATAAAGAAAGAGAAAAAATGTCTGCAGTCCTAATAAAAGCAGCTCGCCAGGGCACCCACCCTTACTTTTCCTGATTACTACAAGAAACCAAAACATCCTGCAGTGGTCCGGGTAGGATTCCCAACTGTAAAACCTCACAGAATCATTTAGAATAGAAATAAATTCAAAGACCTTATGACCTGTTACCTTCATTCTAATGAGAAGGAAACTGAGATATGGAAAGATTAGACGAGATTGTTTGGGTTCTAATCCCAGCATTGCCTCTTAGCAAATTCCTTAATATCTCCATACTTCAGTTTTTCTATATGTAATATGGAAATAAGGATACTTACCTGGTAGGGTTGCGGTGAGAATTAAGATATTGACTGCACTTATAAAGTACTGAGTACCTAGTAAGTACTCAATAAATAGCCAACACCAGTATCATCATCTACCAAGCACTCATTGAAGAGCTGGGGCTAAACCTGACCGTAAATCCAGTATTCTTTTCACCACAGAGAATTATCAGTTTCTGTGGAAGGAGCTCTGTTGCTCCCTTTGAGGTGCCAAAGGCATTAAAGGTAATTCTTGTTTCCCACATTTTAATCTATAGTAGTAACTGAATTCAGAAAGACTCCAAGGGAATGGGTGTCTAAGAAATAAAATGATGAGTGTTCATTATGGCCTTTCATTCATTTATGCATTCAATCATTCCAGAAAAATCCTCTGAGTATTACTTGTATTACACAGCTGAGTATTACATGGCTCTGTCAAGCCGTGTGGTATCTGTCAAGTGTACCACGGTGCATTAGACATGATCATCGCTATTAGGGAGTTTACAATTCAGAGGGGAGGCAAAGCAAGCAGGCAACTAATTGGAATGCTATTTGTTAAGGGGAAGAAGGCATGATGACATGAAATCCAAAAGGTGAGTGTTGCCCTGTACACAGGATAAGTGTTGTAGGGAGAAGTTCCTAGTAAAAGAAAAAGAAGAAAATCCCTCTCTTTCAGTCTCTGTTCTAGAACTGTGCATTTATATGCAGTACCTCAGAGATATATCCTCAGAGATATAGCAACTTTGGTTGCAGACCACTGCAATAAAGTGAATATCACAATAAGCAAAATCACACAAATGTTTTGGTTTCCCAGTGCATATGAAACTTACGTTTACACAACATTATATTCTATTAAGTGTGCAGTCTGAAAAACAATGTACGTACCTTAATTTAAAAACACTTCACTGCTAAAACACGCTATCATCTGAGCCTTCAGGGAGTCGTGATCTTTTTGCTAGTGGAGGGCCTTGCCTCAGTGTTGATGGCCATTGACTGGCCAGACTGGCAGCTGCTGAAGGTTGGGGTGGCTGTGGCAATTTCTTAAAACAAGACATTAAAGTTTGGCATGTGAATTGACACCTCCTTTCATGAATGTCTCTGTAGCATGTGATGTTGTTTGATAGCATTTTATCCACAATAGAACTTCTTTCAAAATTGGAGTCAATCTTCTCAAATCCTTTTCAACTCAATTTACATAATAGTCTAAATCCTTTGTTAGAACTTCAGCAATCTTTTTAGCATCTTCACCAGGAAAGATTCCATTTCAGTAAACTACTTTCTTTCCTCGTCTCTAAGAAACGACTCTTCATCAGTTCAAGTTTTATCAGGAAATTGCACGGATTCAGTCATGTCTAAGGCACCACTTCTAATTCTAGTTCTCTTGCTATTTCCACCACATCTACAGTTACTTCCTCCACTGAAGTCTTCCCCCCCTCTCAAAGTCATCAGTGAGAGTTAAAATCCACTTATTCCAAACTACTGCTAATGTTGATATTTTGATCTCTCTCCATGAATCTGAATCAATGTCCTTCACGGCATCTAGAATGGTGAGGTTTCCAGAGGTTTTCAATTTACTATGTGCATATACATCAGAGATGTCAGTATGTATGGCAGTGATAGCTTTGTGAAATGTAGCTCTTAAAAAGTAAAAATTATTCTTTGATTCATAGAGCTACAGAATGGGTGTTGTGTTGATACAGGGTGCAGCCAAAGGGGGCCCCCCCCCAGAAAAAGATTTGGAATGGTGTCCAGAATTCAAAGTGTATGGGAATGATGGAGAGACATATAAGATGTCCTCACCCCCCCCCCCCCCAGGGGGAAGGGATGAATAGAGCCAGGCCATTGAGAGCTATTTTGCATAGCAACAGTTTTGGAGCTAACCTCCGGAGGAATGGTTATTTAACATATCTATAACCTTTAACTGGTTTCATAGATATGTTAAATAGCAGTGGCCAAGTTGGGAGCCAGAGAGAAGTTGGTGGCAGGGACTCAGGAGTGAGTAGCTGGGACTCAAGATGGGATCTATGAGCTGTTCTCCGGAGTGAGAAGGGCTTGGACTCAGGAGGATGTAACTGAAGAGCTGCTGCTCTCCTGAGTGAGTGGACTGGGACTCAGGAGGATGTAACTAAGGTCTGCACTCCTGAGTGAGAAGGGAGCTCAGGAGGTAAAAGGGAAAAACCACGCAGCTTTGCCAGAATGGAGATCCCTGCAGCCAGGTGAAGAAGACAGCCACATACTTTTGGTGGAGTGCGGACTCCTGCAGCTTTGGTAGAAGAGGCCCACGCGGCTTTGGGGTGCCCCCTTTGGCCGCGGGGCCTGAAAAGCAACAGAGACTTTGACTGGAACTGGGTACAAAGGACTCTTGCCAGTGGACCATGAGAGGGTACCACAGTACTTTGGATTAACTCGAGATCCTGCCTGCACAGTGACACAGCTGACGGTGCCAGCGGCCTGCAACACAGACGTGTGCTCTTTTCCTGATTTACGGTACCCGGAGTTGGGACAGCGGGGGAAGGGAGCGCTGTGTGGGTGTAGGTGTATAACCTAAAGGACTTTGATATTTTAGTGGTGGCATTAGGCCTAAATAGCATTAAATAAACATTTTGTTTCCTTTTCACAAATCTCTGGCATTAAGAGATGTGTTTCCAATTGGCGGCGGACAGAAGGGCCCAGTAGATTTTAGTATTTTGGTTTTTGGGAGGGGCCCCTGTTGTACAGCAGTTTTGGGCATCCCTAGGTGGGCCAAATATTGTATTGCCCCTCCCTCGGACCTCCTCTTGTTCGGTAACAGTTTTTGGCGACTCCGGTGGGACGATAATTGTCCGTGGCAGACCGCCCCCCTCAGGTGCGAGAGAGTGAGGCTTTGGAATTTTCCCAGTCTCTGAGCATTTCTCTGCGCTCTTGAGGGCATCGGCCGCCTAATCACGCCTGGAAAGGTGAAAAGGAAACAAAGAGGGAAGGGAGCAGAGACGTGAAAGTGTTCGGGGTTGAAAAACTTGGTTTCTGACTGCTCTTTTGCAATAATGGAGCTGGAATTGTGGGCGGTAGCAGGGGAAATACCTGGTCTTTACGCCATCTGTATTCTTTTTGCTCTGAATCTATGTTTGCTTTGTTGGAACTCTATGAGTAGTTCTGAGCCGGTACCTAAGTGGAGTCCACTGGGCAGAATCCTTAGAGATTGGGAGAGCTACCGTGCTAAGTCGACGTACAAAGATCCTTTGACTAAGGAGTTAATGATTTACTATTGTAACAAGGTGTGGCCTACTTATGTTTTGAGTGATGAGCTGAGATGGCCTGTGAATGGTTCTTTAAGTTACTGCATCATTACTAGATTGAAACGGTATTGCCGGCAGTATGAACTCTCGGAAGAATTACATTACCTTAATGCATTTATAATATTGCACAACAGCCTTATGCCAGAGACAGAGAAGCGTGTAATGGTCCAGAAGGAGAAAAGGGTCTCAGAACCCCTCCCTGATAGATCACAGGAGGAGAAAGATGATGAGGAAAGAAACTTAATTAATGCTCTGAACCCAGGGAATGGGGGACCCCAGAGAGCTGGAACTCCTTCTGGGGAGGTGAGGCCCACTGCGACTTCTCCTGCCCTGCAAGTGGGAGAAGTCTCCACCACAGACTCGCAGCCTCTGCGACTGGGCTCTGGGCGACAGGGGTTGCGAGGGTCTTCCTCGGAAAGGGGAGCTTCAGGGCCCCCACCTACACAGGTGGGCGGCGACTGTTCTCCACCTGCACTGGTGACCACAGCCTCAGTGCACCACCCCCAGTGGGTGGAGGGTGGCTCTGCAGCGCCCCCACACCTGCAGGGGGGTGGAGCTTGTGGTCAGCCGGGGCCTGTAGCCTGGGAACCCAGGCCCCAGTCCGTCGGAGGAGTGCTGCCTCTGCCACCTTCACAGATGAGCGGATTCTGCACTCCTCCTGGGCCTGGGGCCTCGGCACCCCAACCCCAGTGGGTTGGAGGAGTTCCCCCTCCGCCACCGGCACAGGTGGGCGGGGCCTCCGCCCCGCCTCCACCAGTGACGGCAGCCTCAGTGCACCACCCCCAGTGGATGGAGGGCGGCTCTGCGGCGCCCCCACACCTGCAGGTGGGCGGAGCTTATGGTCAGCCGGGACCTGTAGCCTGGGAACCCAGGCCCCAGTCGGTCGGGGGAGTCCCGCCCCTGCCACCTTCACAGGTGAGCGGATTCTGCGCTCCTCCTGGGCCTGGGGCCTCGGCACCCCAACCCCAGTGGGTTGGAGGACTTCCCCCTCCGCCACCGGCACAGGTGGGCGGGGCCTCCGCCCCGCCTCCACCAGTGACGGCAGCCTCAGTGCACCACCCCCAGTGGGTGGAGGGTGGCTCTGCGGCGCCCCCACACCTGCAGGTGGGCGGAGCTTGTGGTCAGCCGGGACCTGTAGTTTGGGAACCCAGGCCCCAGTCGGTCGGGGGAGTCCCGCCTCTGCCACCTTCACAGGTGAGCGGATTCTGCGCTCCTCCTGGGCCTGGGGCCTCGGCACCCCAACCCCAGTGGGTTGGAGGAGTTCCCCCTCCGCCACCGGCACAGGTGGGCGGGGCCTCCGCCCCGCCTCCACCAGTGACGGCAGCCTCAGTGCACCACCCCCAGTGGGTGGAGGGTGGCTCTGCGGCTCCCCCACACCTGCAGGTGGGCGGAGCTTGTGGTCCACCTGGGCCTGTGGCCTGGGAACCCAGGCCCCAGTCGGTGGGGGGAGTCCCGCCTCTGCCACCTTCACAGGTGAGCGGATTCTGCGCTCCTCCTGGGCCTGGGGCCTCGGCACCCCAACCCCAGTGGGTTGGAGGAGTTCCCCCTCCGCCACCGGCACAGGTGGGCGGGGCCTCCGCCCCGCCTCCACCGGTGACGGCAGCCTCAGTGCACCACCCCCAGTGGGTGGAAGGTGGCTCTGCGGCTCCCCCACACCTGCAGGTGGGCGGAGCTTGTGGTCCACCTGGGCCTGTGGCCTGGGAACCCAGACCCCAGTGGGTCGGGGGAGTGCCACCTCTGCCACCTTCACAGGTGGGCGGAGCCTGCTCTGTGCCTCCGCCCCACCCCCTGGGAGTGGGGAGCATCTCCACTGGCCAGATCCCCTCACAGGTGGGAGGGGCCAGGCCTCCTCTGCAGGGTGAAGCCTTGGGGCATCACTCCATTCAGGTAGGAGGGACCTCCATAGGGTTGCCGCCTTCACAGCTGGTGGAGGTTTCTACATCTCCAGCAGCACAAGCAATGAGAACTGCCGCTGCCGTGATGCCTCCCCCTCCACAGACGGTGGGAGCCAACACAGTACTGTCTCCTCCCGGAACTGCCTCTGAAGCTGAGACAGATAAGCCAACTGCTACACCCTCACCTGCTGAGGAATGCGTCTCACCCCCGCGAACTCGCCAGGGTACCTCCTATAACCGGGGAGCCTCCAAAGGCGTAGCCAGCCAATACCCTTTGAGGCAATACCCAATAGGGGGCATAAATGAAGAAGGTCAGCCTGCTGGCTATTATTGGGCCCACACACCGTTCTCCACTTCAGACTTACTGAACTGGAAGAATGCCAACCCCTCATATAGGAATGATCCTCAGAAGATGGCAGATCTTATTGCCTGTATTTTTGCCACTCATCACCCAAACTGGGCAGACATACAGGCCCTCCTGAACATTTTACTAACGGCAGACGAAAGACGGTTGGTTCTAAATAGGGCTCATCAGGAGGCCCAGCGTCTCCATGATGATGACACAGAAGGGATCCTCCACCCAGCTGAGGCAATTCCTCGGGTGGACCCTAACTGGGACCCGAATAGCAGAGACGGTTTAGCCTCTTTGGGACACTATAGAAGGTGTATATTAGAAGGACTTAGGAAAGGAGTGCCCAAGCAGAAGAGTCTGAATTTGATACAGACTCTCCAGCAGAAGCCAGACGAGGATCCTTCTGAATTTTTAGAAAGGATCTATCAAGCATACAGGAAATACACCGATGTTGATCCAGAGGCACCAGAAAATGCGAGAATGATAAACATGACTTTTATTGGACAGAGTTCTCCGGATATCAGAAACAAACTCCAGCGTGTAGATGGAGTACTGGGAATGAGCTGCTCCCAGCTAGTAGATATAGCATTTAAAGTCTACAATGCTCGGGAAGCAGGAAAGGCAAAACGGGCCACAGTGTTTTTGGAATCAGCCCAGGGAAACCAAAAGAAGCAGGATCCTGGGGCAGAGAAAGGAAACTCATCAGGTGCCCACCACCGTGCCAGTGGCAAAAGGGGCCCTAAGGAGAAGAAGAAAGGTACAATAGGCATTAATCAGTGTGCCTATTGCAAGGAGGAGGGGCACTGGAGGAATGAGTGCCCACATCGTAAAAGGGAAAGTAAGAGTAAGAATCCAGGTCGAATGATGGTAAAGCAAGAAACAGAGAATGCCAATGAATGAGGAGGCCCAGGGGCTCCATTGGACATCTCCCGACCCATCACTATTTCCCCACAGGAGCCCCGGGTGCAAGTGACTGTGGGGAACAAGCCAATTGACTTTCTTGTAGATACGGGAGCCACATACTCAGTGTTGAACACGAAGTTGACTGGAAAAAGCTCAAATGAAGTAACGGTTACTGGTGTGTCTGGCCAGGTACAAAAGCAGACATTCCTGCAACCTCTGGAATGCCAGCTTGGGGGTCAAAAGCTTACACATAGTTTTTTGTATATGCCTGATTGTCCCATTCCGTTGTTGGGCCGAGATTTGCTGTGTAAATTGCATGCACAAATAACCTTTTCTCCCAAGCGACAGCAGCTGCGTGTGGAGGTCCCGCTGGAAAATGCCCTCCAGTTGCAGGCTATCCTGACCTGTCCTGGAGGCCCTGAAGGTGAACCCTTCCCACCTGAGATCTGCGAGCAGGTCGATCGAACTGTTTGGGCCGACGGAACTCCAGGTAAAGCAGTTAACGTACAACCCATAAAGATATATCTGAAAGAAGGGGCGCGGGTCCCAAGAAAGAAGCAGTATCCCCTCAAAAAGGAGGCTTTAGAGGGGATCCAGCCAGTGTTGCAGAAGTTTTTGAAATCAGGACTAATCCGGCCTTGCCGGTCACCATACAATACTCCCATTTTGCCGGTCAAAAAGCCTCACTCAGATGAGTACCGGTTTGTACAGGATCTCAGGGCCATCAATGATATTGTCCAGGACATTCACCCTACTGTGCCTAACCCTTACACCCTGTTGACTATGGTGCCTGGGGATAGCAAATGGTTTTCAGTCCTAGACTTAAAGGATGCGTTTTTCTGCATCCCGATAGATGAGCAGGCTCAGCAACTGTTTGCCTTTGAGTGGCAGAACCCAGAGACTAAAGCCACGCTCCAATATTGCTGGACTGTGCTGCCACAAGGATTTAAGAACTCACCGACCATATTCGGGGAAGTGCTGGCAAAAGACTTAAGGGATGTTCAGTTGAGATCAGGAGTTCTTCTGCAATATGTAGATGACCTATTAATAGCCAGCAGTAACTATGAGGATTGTCTGCACAACACCATCACGGTTCTAAATCATTTGGCAAAGAAAGGATATAAAGTGTCCCCTCATAAGGCCCAAATTTGCAAGCAGGAGGTGGCGTATCTGGGATTTCAACTGAAACAGGGTACCAGGAGTCTAATGGCAGATAGAAAGCAAGCCATTGCTACGCTAAAAATCCCGGAAAATCGAAGGCAACTTCGTGGGTTCTTGGGAATTACAGGGTTTTGTCGAATTTGGATTCCAAACTTTGGACTTATAGCAAAGCCACTGTATAATTCCCTAAAAGGACTGGACTCTGAACCCCTAGATTGGACAGGAGATTGTCAAGTAGCATTTGATACTCTGAAGGAGAAACTGTCCTCAGCCCCTGCATTAGGATTGCCAGACTTAAAGAAGCCTTTCAAATTGTATATTCATGAAAGGCAGGGGATAGGACTGGGGGTGCTGACCCAGACCCTGGGAAATATCCCCCGACCCATAGCCTATCTCTCAAAGAAGCTGGATCACACAACAAAAGGATGGCCACCATGCCTCCGAGCCGTAGCAGCCACCTGTGATATCTTACAGGAAGCTGAAAAGTTTACCTTGGGACAACCTACTACAGTGTTGGTGCCACATCAGGTTCTGACTCTGTTAGAACAGAGAGGAGGATATTGGCTGACAGCTGGGCGTATGGGGAAATACCAGGCAATTCTGCTGGACAATCCTAATGTTACCTTGCAGACCACCACCACCCTAAACCCAGCCACCCTACTCCCAGATATGGAGGGAGACTCTGCCCTTGAGCACGAATGCTTGGAAATAATTGACCAAGTTTATTCTAGCAGGCCAGACCTGACAGACCAGCCGCTGGCATCACCAGACTGGGAGCTGTATACAGATGGGAGCAGCTTCATGGACAATGGCCAGCGACGAGCTGGGTATGCGGTGGCCACTGCAGACAAGGTAATAGAAGCCCAAGCTCTTACGCCAGGAACCTCAGCACAGAAGGCTGAATTAATAGCTCTCACAAGAGCCTTGCTGCTGTCCCAAGGGAAACAAGTTAACATATATACAGATTCCAAGTATGCCTTCATGGTAGTTCATGCCCATGGAGCAATATGGAAAGAGAGAGGACTCTTAACCTCGGGGAACAAGGATGTTAAACACGCAGAGGTGATTTTACAATTGTTAGAGGCAGTGAATGTACCGGACCAGGTTGCTATAATGCACTGCCCAGGACACCAGAGGGATGGTTCCCACACCAGTCAGGGAAACCAAATTGCTGACAAAGCAGCAAGACAGGCAGCCAAGGAGCTGCCACACCTAGCAGCCTTGGTTCCCCATCTGGACTTATCAGAATTTAAACCTCATTACACAGAAAAGGATGAGGAGCGGGCCCGTGAATGGGGATTCACTAACACTGATCCCGATTCTATGTGGAAAGTCAATGCTCATGGTATGATTCTGCTTCCTGAGGCTCTAGTGTATCCTGTGCTCAAGCACCTACATGAAGGGACACACTATGGAAGGGATGCTCTAATGGACTTCATTAGACCGCATCTAAAAGGCCCTTATTTGCAAAGGACTGTCCACAGGATCTGTCAAGCCTGTCAGATATGTGCCAAAAACAATCCTAAGACAGAGCGTGTTCCCACAGAAAAGGGAGTACAATATAAAGGGATGTGCCCCTTCGAGGACTGGCAGGTGGACTTCACGCAAATGCCTAAAACAAGGGGAAACTTCAAATTCTTGTTAGTCTTTGTAGATACCTTTTCTGGGTGGGTAGAAGCGTACCCCACCAGGACTGAAAAGGCAACTGAAGTGGCAAAACTGTTGCTTAAAGAAATAATCCCCAGGTTTGGACTTCCCCAGAGCATTCAAAGCGACAATGGACCATCGTTCATTTCAGAAATCTCCCAGAAGGTTGGACAGGCATTGCAAATACAATGGAAACTGCATGCATCTTGGAGACCACAGTCCACAGGAAAGACTGAGAAAATGAATCACACCATAAAGAAGACTCTGGCAAAAATATGCCAGGAAACACATTTAAAATGGGACCAGGCATTGCCCATTGCTCTGCTCCGAATCAGAGTGGCACCCAGAAGTGGGCTTAAACTGAGCCCTTTTGAAATAGTTTATGGGAAACCCCTGCAAGTTTCTGTTTTAGGTACGCCCCCTCTGGATCTGGAGCATGAGGCACGAATTAAGCAGTATGTGCAACATTTAGGGCAAACACTAACCATTTTGCACAAGTTTGCTCATTGCAGGTCTGCCTACCCCTCTGACGAGCCTCTGCACCCGTTCCAGCCAGGGGACCAGGTCCTACTAAAGACCTGGAAGAGCCAAGGCCCTGAGCAGCAACTGTCTGAACAGTGGACTGGTCCCTACGATGTCCTATTGACAACACATTCCTCCCTGAAGCTGATGGGAATTAAGCCCTGGATTCACCACACACGGGTAAAACGGGCACCGCCTAAGGGAGATGCAGACCCTACTGCTGCAGTAGGGGCAGAAAGGGAAAGATGGACCTGCACTCCGGAGGAAGGTTTGAAATTCCTCTTCCGGAAAGAGACAACGAACCCAAATATAGGGTGACAAGGTTTGATATGTCATGCAAGTGTTTGTAAAGCTGGGAACTTTTGGCTGCCAGATACTAGGTTTGAGTACTGAGC